CACCGGCTTATCACATTGCACTCTTTGAAAGAGGGTCATCATGCGCAGTCAGGAACATACGCGGCCAAGGTGCTCCCGGTGAAATTTCTGACATCACACGCATGATGTCTGTAGAACACTTCGTTGTCACTTATCACAATTGTCTGTAGTGGTCTGCACTGGCTCTTTCTAGCTGGTTGTTTTTTTTTTTCAGCGTTGCAGCCTGTCTGGACGTGCTTGCCAAGAGAACTCTGTAGAGCAGCTTAGGCTTTACCGCTGTGGTTTGTTTTGTGTGAGTAGGGTTTTAGGTGATAGCGGCCCTGCTGACAGACATGCTGGGGGGCAACATTGGCTTTGTCACAGCCGTCGGCCTCTGCCACAAAGAGACATTGTGTCGGCTGTCAACCGCAAATCAGGTGGCTGACATTGGCTGGGTCGTGGAAAAAATGGGACACGCAGGAGAGCAGCATCCAAGGAGTCAACCGGGTTGACATGTTTCCTTGGTGTGCATTTCCCATGCATTTCTTGCAGTTTCGAGTCTGCTGCCTGAGGTTACATTTTTTATTTTCATTACCTTCATACCAAGAAGATGGTGGCGTGTCCTGGCAGTTTCAGTAAAGGTGCCTGTTAAAGGGAGATGCAAGTAAAAAAATAGTTTTTTTTTAACATTGCATTTTTTATTTTTATTTGCTTTCACAAGTTTAGTTTCTCTACTTTCACGACAAAAAAAACTGAAGAATGTAAATAAATTCAAAGTAGGTTAAAATCGTTTTTAAAGAGCACATAGTGGCTAGTAAAAACTAAAAAAAAAGCTCATTGTCTAGAGTTTCTTGCGAATAGTCACCTGACTTCTTGCTTTTGCTTTTTGCGGGAGCAGTTTACTGAAGCCACATGCTCAAAATAATCATGATTGCCAAGTGATCATGATGAAAGCAATCATCTTAAAAAACATATCATTTCCACATGGATGAGCTTTTCCTTATATCTTGTTTTTCTCTAAATCAATGTTTGGGTAACTCGTCGCAGCAGCCTCAATTTTGCTGGAGGCGAAAATTCCGGAGACCCGTGGGCTTAGATTTAAGTGCACGTTAAAGAACCCGAGGTGGTTGAAATTTCCGGAACCCTCCACTATGGTGTCTCTCATAACCATGGTGGTTTTGACACGTTAAAACCCAATACTATTTATTATTATTTTGGGGCAACTTTGCAAATTTGAACATTATATTTTTGGTACTTACAATAGCCCAATCGGATGAAATTTTGTCGACACATTCCTTAGAATGTGAAGGGTGTAACTATCTCCTTTCAAACTTGATATTGCCTGTGTAAATATTATAACGTAATATAAGCAATTAGTATGGGCTTAGGATTCTAAAAAATTTATTACAATTTTTTTCTTCAGTAAAATGTTTCATACACACTTTTTTATAGTTATTTACATTCTACAGTTAATGTAAACAATAAGAGCCATTAATGGCTCAGAATCATGAAAGTTTAGCGGCATAAAATGTTTGTCCAAAAAAACTATACTTTACACATTGTCATCGCATGAAACGAAAACTATGCAACTCAATATAAAGCTACATACATATTTGACACCAGCATAAAAGCCTACATATACAGCAAAAATTTCATTGCCCTACCTAGGCTACAGATTAACACAACTATTTTTTCGAATCTCATCTCCCCTTAACATGTTCTCTCCTTTTTTTTTGTATCCTGTACCGCAAGAAAATGGAAGGAACATTGGGTAGGTGACTTCTCTAGAAGCTGAGAATGCGACTCCTGTGGTTCGGCGAGCACCATAATGAAAGCGAGGGGTTTTTCCGGTTCTTGTACAGGAGGCATGCCAAGTACAACAAGGCCCAGCATCTGCACGTGGTCTCGGCCTTCCTTAGCAACATTATGACGTAAAATACAGGAGCAGAGACAAAGACAAGCAGCGAGTGCAACTCATGCTTTCAGCATCTTCTGTAGAGCAGCCACAGAAGCTGTCCTTTGTGGTGCCAACAGGCAATCAAGGGGGTGACATGAGAGCTCGATTTGCAATGGAAGGCGAATTCGTGAACACTTGAGCTGCACCATTGAAGTTGTGTGCCTCACAGCTCTCATGAGTATTAGTTTTTGGTCAGCGGGAAACGGCTCGCAAGCATTGAAAAGTGGACAAAAAACACATCTCGGTCCATGATCGTTGCTTGATTCCTTCGTAGGCATACCACGCCTTAGCAGCATCTCAAGGGTGTTCGATGGCCACGAGCCATTTGTGATTTTCCAGCCAAGCATGAAGGGTGGCGAGTGAGTTGATGGTCTCAATCCACCCAAAAACATCTTCTTGAAAGCCTCGGAATGCCGGCACTGCTCTAACAGTCGACAGTAGTGAAGTGGCAGACGAGAGCTCGGAGTTGCATGTCAACAGGTGGTCAAGATGACAAGGTAGTTTCATTATGACACGTAACATTTCTGCGCAGTTGTCAAATGGGGCTCCCGGTGAGCTATGGGTGTAGTTCGCAGAGTATGTGGTAGTTTCGGTGATTATGGAGGCGAGATTCATTGCCAAAGACGCATATATGGCATTCCTTGTCATAAGAAGGCACTGGTGTAGTGATGTGAAGCCGCCAAAGAGGCCTAGGCGCCTCCTCGGTGGCTCCACACCACTACACCTGTGTATCTGCTCACATGCCGCGGTGGTGGCAGTGGCGGCAGGTGAGCAGGTGTTGAGGAGGCCTGGACACTGTCCTCGAGCTGCGCTTACTACTGCTACACGTTGGCGGGTGCCACGGACGAGGAAGCCAGGATGTAAGACTTCGCCATCGACTGCGTCATTGTGAGAAATAAGAGACGAGATGATGCTGGGCCGCCTGCTCTTTATTCCGCCTCATTCTCCTTTTCATTGCACTAGCCGAACTCGTGCCAGTGCCTTAGCGTGCTTTTGCATCCTTACAATATACATATATGAGGACCTTTTTCGAGATGGGCTCAAGGCAAAACTAAAACTAGCTCAAATGAGGTTCTTTTGGCTATACCTACATCAACTTTTTCTAAAACAGTAATAATAAATAATATTTAGTAATTTATTATTGTTTTTGAGAAAAGTTGAGATATGTATAGGCAAAAAAACTTCATTTGAGCCAGTTTTAGTTTAGTCCATTTCGAAAAAAAGCTCCGCATGATTATATATGTATATACAGATGAAGAAGATAGACGATCTCGAGATCGGTCCCCTATTAAAACGCCAACAAGAAGCGTACACCTTTCTTCTATTTGTAATATGGCAATCGAAGACAATTTTCTTAATCTACATTTATATAACTATATATATTATGCTACTACTTATTTTGCATTGAGCGCAGACAGACTATCTCTTACTAGCGTTGTATAGACGAGAGCACGCCCATCTCCCACCCAGGCGTCTTCGGAGGTATACTCTCGCTCCCAGAGACGCCATAATTTGTTTTGAACTTCCAAAGCGCACCTCGCTAGCATGGCAAGCAGTGGCTCTGGGACTTCAAAATGTCAAAAAAAGTGACGCTGCGCCAGCTTATAAGAAGTCTTCTGGGTAACACCGCACCGGCAATCGATGAATCAAACAGAAACGAACAAGCAGCATTTTATTAAGTTTCTTGATGCACTGAAGTCTCTTTACTCAATGCAGTTGGTTTGATTACTTGTGATTAATTGTAGGGGGTCTGTCTAATGTCATCAGGATCACTTTAAAAATGTCCTACTGCAGCGCTTATGTTCTTATGCATTTACCTTAATTTCTCGGTAAGTAGGGCACTGTTGTTGATAATATTGTCGTTTTAAATGTTGTCATACATTGAGCTTTCACTGTGAGGTAAATTGCTATTTGACCTTAGTGTCCCTTTAAAGCAGGAACTAATTCGTCGCAAAATAAACTCACGGTTTCAAAGACGGCATCAGTGCAATTGTAGCACTGCCGCCTTACTCGCACGTAGTTGCCCAAAATGGATGCAGATAATCACGATAAAATGTGGCAAGGAATCTACATGCCTTCATATTTATGAATTTCGGTGCGTAGTATGCTACAGGCCCCTATCCGTCCGGCGCTCATTGCCATAAAGCTGAAAAGCACCCAACGCTTCTCCCTTGGAGCAAAACAATGCTAATCTAGACGCGCTGTGAAGATACCAGGTAGACCACGCATGCACAAACCTTGCCTGTATTTATCTACCGTTGCACTCTACCAGCAAGCAAGCGGCTGTGTGTTTGGCACTCTGAATTATTCTGGGAGGGCCTGTTTATGTAGCTTGAGATTTCCACGCACCCCAACAAGTTTGTTCATTTTTGAAAGCATATCCACATTTATCTACTTTTTCCTTGTGTGTTGACCTCACCCATGGTATTTCGTTCCGGATTATTTTTTAATATGCACCCTTACAAGTGAGGTGATGAAATTAAGTAGTCCAACAAGAGCACCATAGACATAGGAAGGAAGACTAAGTATTCAGTGCGTTTTTATTGTGCTAATTTATCTTGATAGTAATACAAAACCAACTAGCTTCATCTTGCAAAGAAATCTTTGCTCTCTGATGCTTCAGGTAGTGTTTCACGCACAGCAAATGTGTACAGTTGTAAATCTTCTGTATGCGAATTTGAACCGATTTAACAAACCTCTATACCAGGCCGATTTTTTTTTTTAAAAACAGACAAAAAATGTGATGCTATGTCTGGCTTTGGTTGTAGAACCTGACACATTATTGCACCACTGTAAAGATGTGAGGTAGAGATACAATTTAACAGCATTTTCAAAGTCTCATTATAGCCAAGTGATACTTTTAGCATGTGTACTAGGCCATGCAAAGTTGAAATCGAAATAAATGGAGAAATTGAAAGTTTTAACAAATGGAAAGTTGCTAAAATTTGTAAATCGAACTTTTGAGGTTACTTTTACCATTTTTAACAAGAAATTTTAAAAAGTTCAAAAAGCACACGTTTTTCTATTTATTTGTGTGAGCACTTTATTGATCGATGGTTGCGCACGCGCCATATGGTTATTGCAGGCATAAGAAGTCATCGCCAGAGACGAAAATACTCCTCGAAAGTGCTGAAGGCGATGACACTGCGGACGTCTAGTCGGCCTCATCTGCTCTCTGCTTCACCTTGCTCTGGACATCATTGCTAGGAGAAAGGCAACAGGCCAGTCTTGGGAGAGCCCCTTACACCTTAAGTGCACCACCATTTTGTTCCATCACTGTTGTCTTTGGCTGACACACATCCTTGCTTTGCACTCTGTCTTGCATCGCTTGCAGCATAGGTAATCACTCTATCTATGCTAACATGTCTGGGTTTTCGACAGGTACCTGAAATATAGGTACACTAGTGTTGCTTTTGAAATGGCACTCCAGAGCAAACTTCTAGAAGACTATTTTATTAGTTCTCCAAGCAGAGAGTCGACATAGGTTTTCTTATTCAATTGAGCATGAAGCAAAAAACCCTTTCCTCTTTGTATAAGACTGTGCTGTGCTTACGATGCTTACAATGGGTGGCATCAGGAAGTGTTTGAGCTTGAATCAAGTAAGCAAGTTTGAGCAAGCATAAAGGGTGGTCTGCTTCTGACAATTTCAAGTTGGCTTTCCAGCAGAGTTGCATTTTCAAAAGCATTTTCACTACACTCATCAAGTGTAAGCGAGTGGTAAGGTAATAAGAGCTTGTACTTGTGAAAGGGGCAGTTTCAAACACCAGGCCCGTACCATCATTTGCAGAAAAAAATTCGGCTTGCACATTTTATGACATCAATATATCGGTGGTCATGCCCGAAGCAATAAAGCTTTAAAATGCAGAAAAGGCAAGCGCACCATTTTTTATACGAGCTTCAGTATAAATGCTGCTAATGATTAGCTCTTGCAGCCATTATTTCTGCCCTTGCAGTTTCTAGCCAGATTATGTCTAATGTGACATCAACTGATTAGAGCATGAAATAGTGCAATCATACCCAGGTTAATTGTAATGTACACATTTGAAGTGCCATTGTGATAAAAAGAAAGCTTGCATAAGTTGAGTTATGAGTGATATAGCAGCCAGTGTAAAGGGATGACCAACGTGACATTTTTTTACACTCTATTTTTGTGTATTCTGAAGGTCTGTGACCCATAAAACTAAAAGAAATGCGTACCAGCATTAAAACAGCTTGAATCATTATAGCTTTTCTGCACCCATTTTCGGTTACACATGCCGGTGTCATAGTGAAGGACGCTTTCTTTGTCACGAAAAGACTCCACTCAGGCCCTGTGTAGCAGCATAAGCAGACAACCAAGTAAGTGTCAAAATGTTGCACTACTTGCACCACCAGACAGCCACTTTCTAGAAAACACTACAGGAACCAGTTATAGCAAAGCTATTATAATAAATTGCCTAGGGTGCTCTCAGGCTTCCAATGTTCCTTCTGTGGTTCATATATCTAGGACCTAAGTTTATTGTCTCTAATACTTTAAAACTTGAGCAGGGTTGATATTGAATTTGGCTTGTGGTGTGTATTATCGGCAGGAGTTTTGCGAGACAGATAAGCAGCGTTGCTCTGCTGCTTATATGCAGTTTGCAGGTTAGTGCACCCCAAATGCATTTTCTCATCCCATAGGAGCCCCTTTAAGTGACATTTCACGACAAGCGCACTCTTAATCGTGCTTTATGTAGTGATGCTGACAAGATGAATGTGAGATTAGGAACCATCCTGTGCCTTGTGTGCTAGGAACATACTTGGAAACTATTTTTGCTTCCATTTTTCTTTATATATGTGCTTGAATTACCGTACTTTCTCAAGAAAAGGGCTCCTCATAGTTGCGCAGATAGCTAGCTATAGCTAAGTGCCATACTGTGAAGCACTCCTGGAATGTAACCCACATTGAGAACTTGTAATAGCGGCAATGTGGGCTTCATATTTTGCTTTAGTTTATCGGTGAACATTTTCTAGCTCCGCCACAAAGTATCTGTGTGTTAAACATTTCAAGTGTCTTTCCACTGTGCCTTCGAAGTGCCGTCATCAGCACATGCATATGCATGCATGTTATTTTGTTCTTTGTTTGTGAAGCAGTGTGAAGCAAAGAACAAAGCAAGGATGGTTCAGCTTGTATGTGTGTTTGGTGGAAATTGCTGGCAGATGTCAGAGTGACTTCCATGGCATGTCAATCGAGCAAGTTCAGTTGCCTTCTGCTCCAGGGGGTGGCTGGTGACATTTCGTGACAGAGGAATTCAGTGAATGTCTACCAAGGCATTTTTTCTGGGGAAGGCTTCTAGATTTCTACTGTTGAGACATGAGGTGGTATAGAAGGAAGTAATGAAAGTCTACTGCTTGAATGAATTATCTTGTGTAATTAAGTGCGTGTTGGCAAAGGCCATCAAAATTTTTTAGGTGGCTTTAAGACCCAATTTTTTGTCAAGATATTTATTCCGATTCCCAAACATTGGAAGTTGCCTGATATTAGTAGCAACATTGTCATTTTTATTGAGCAACTTCTTATATATTCATTTTAGCTCTGATATTGATTTCAAAGATGGGTCGTAACCCGAAGTGTGTTTGTAACTAGAAACCCCACAGCAGGCACTATGTAGTTCCTGGATATCTCGTCTCCTAACCGGCTTAACATTGCCTTTAAGAGTAACATGCTGCTGAAGATGCAGAAATCTGAACGTGTAATTCACGTATAATGTTTTGTTGGTCTTTGTGGAAGTAATCTGTGTACGAGATTGGTGCCAAGGCTGGATTTAAGTCGTTATACACACGTATTATCGGTGTTTTCAGAATTTTACCTTGGCATTCAGGTCAGTGCTACAGTAGTGCCACAAATTATGAGCACCAGTATAGGATGTTGAAGCAGCAAGCTAAGATAATGTATTACCAGCCTGGTGATGCTCAGGAAGGTGAAAGTAAAATTAATTCTTCCCAAAGACTGAGCAGCTTGTAGCAGAAAGGGAAAGCAATGTGTTTTCTTCTGGTTACTACTTGATGTTTCCTCAGTCACCTTATCTAACCGCTAGTCATAGGTTAAACATAATTGGAATGTTTGGTTACTACCAGGGTAACATCACTGGTCAGACGTGAGGAGGCCATTGCACTTCTATAATGGTTATATAGATACATATTGCAGACAGGGTGTAGGACAGCTATGCTAATCTAGACATGGGTCATACTGAACAATTCTGAGCTAACTTTGTTTACCACATTAGCAGCACAGCGTCACTAATATTTTTAACCTAGGAGATAAGACTGAAACAACATTGATGTATTCCCCTTTTTCGTCTTGCTGTACACCATTTTTTGTGTGGTTTGGCCGAAGCCATAAAACAGAACTCAAACTTAGGGGCATTGTGTTATCAGCATTAAAAGAATGCAGATGCCAGTTTTTACAAGGCCTTGCAACAGCAAGAACGATTTCCAACCTTGTCATCTCAATGTAATTTGTCACGATCGAGCATGAGCATGACACAATGAATTTGGTCACCAATCTTTGTAATTGTCACTTTTTGCAATTGCCATGAGTGTGTGCAGTTTTCAGCATCCAAATTGGTGTCCACTGTACACACAAAATGCAGGTCGGCTGTGACACTTTTTTTTTTTCAAGGAACTAGTTACTCACGCACTAGTTCACTTCAGTCGTACTAGCAAGTCTGTTGCGATAACATTTCTGGTATAGTCTGTGTCGGATGCATACACACATTTTAGATGTGTACTTTTGCTCATTTCAAGGGATAACCCTTCTTTGTGCTCCTATGTTTCTCATTCGAGGTTCACAAACGAGTAGGACTCGTTACGTTGTCATTCCACAATCATTGAGCTCTTATTAGAGTTGGCAATTATTTTCCATGCATTTCGACAGTATCTGCTAAAAGTGCATTTTACGTAGCATTTCTTTTGTCTGTTCCATTAATGCCTTTAGTCATGTATGATATAATTCAACAACTGTGTTTCCAATGGTAAACTGTGACATTTTAATGTTCATTTTGTGCATGGTGTACTCAATTAACAGCTTCTGTCCTGTGCACTTGACTTGTTGCAACTGTGAGACTCTCTAACTTGTGCTTGTTAGCTTTTGTTTGTATCCTTTGCCATACATATTTATGTAGCACTATTATTTAAAGTGGGTTTTATATGCTTGCAACGAAATTTCAGTCAGTATTCTATTAGAAGTGCACAGGCCTGAAACTTTTTTTCTAACAGCATTTTCATTTGTCACACCGGTGTGCTCGTATATCATTTACAAACTGCAATATTTTTAAATCGAACTTTTTTAAAATAATTTTGCTATGCTTTCTTTTGAAGGCTCCCGAGTTTACATAGATTTAGTACTTACATTGATCTCTCCAATCGAAAATGTTTTAGTGGAGGAAGAGTGTTGGTTGATATGTGAAATACCATTGGATTTATGTTTGAATTATACCGGTGAGATGTGAGATGACACCTTTTGGTGTCCTTTTTTTTGCCTTTTTTTAGTGCACTCTAGTTTTTATGAGAAACTACTAATAGTGTTAGAAATAAATATTTTTTTTTAAAACTGCCTTATCTGTTTGTACATTGGTTCCTTCTACCTCTGTTTCAACAATTTCTCCAGCTTTCACCATGAACAAATCACACTTTGAGTCTCTAAGCTAACTTCTTCAGACTGTGTTTGGAACCTTGAGTCAATCTACAATAAAATAGTTTATGCTCACAATCTATATTTGCTTAATAGCAATTAATGTGTTCTTACGGGATGTTTCAAAAAATGTGTTCACTGCTTCTGAAAAATTACAGAAAAGCGGTATCTGCGGGTTGCCCGTGGCATTCCCTTTACAGTGGCAAAAGACATCCTCAGATGCGTACTATCACCTCAGTAATTATAGAAATTAACACTATTAACTTTTTAACCAGTGGAAATAGCGGTCGCGTCATACGGACAAATTCAAGTCCTTGCTGTGAATAGTTCATAGCCACTTTGAAATTTCTGAAAGATGGCCACTGATAATCACCGCAGGGTGATGAAATCTGGTTAATGTACCAGACAAAACCAAAACCAATGCACCAAACAGTGCATCAACCATTCGCTTTAAAAACTTTTTAAAACTTTATATAAATTCTTTAGGCATGGTTGTCAGAGGTGGCAGTGCAATCGCAGTCATGCTGGTGACTTCTGTACCACAATGTTGCACAAGGTGGGCAGCACTGCAGAACTTCTCTGACAGTCCAAAAATATGTAGGCATACAGCAAATTTTGTGGACAACATGGGCTAAGCTGAGCTTCAGAAACAGTATATCACTGCTTAGCATCAAGCTAATGCGATTCACATATTATAAATAAAATGATGTAAATGTTAAAGGGATCGACAACTGGCCAGAACATGTGGTTAGATCGAAACATAAATGAAAAAAAAAGTAAATTATAGCAACAGATTCAAGCATGTTTTTTGCTGAGTATGACATACTGTTAAATTGCGTTTAAAAGTTGCAAACTACTGTTGTGTTGCGTGGCCTAGCAGGAAAACCTTGAAGCTGGATTATGGAGTCATTCACTTTGCTTTACTTGGCCTGATGCTTTCATGCATGTCATAATTTGTGCTCAAAATTAGAGTATGTATATTATAATTATCCACCCCCACTCATTTTGTGCTGCTTACGAAGTACTAAATGTATGCTGAGAAGTAGCGCTGCCTTCGTGGCAACTAGTCGAGCCGCGGTGCTGAGTACATGCACGAGTATGCGCAGCAAACCGTGGTGCACAAACAGCTCTCACTCTTATTTCTCACAGTTTGCAGCACGTGTTGTGCATATACAACTTCATGATTACTGCAGATCAAACATTTTAATCATAAATATTTCACAGCCCCTTCAGCGTTACTATTAATGATGAGACACTCTGCCCGGTACGCTTTTGAGTGCGTTTAAGAAAATGGGTACCATCAGCATTGGTTGTCAGTCCTTTTAACGAAACCTGTTCAGCGTAAAAAATGTTGGACTGCTCTCCTTGCTAAGTTGCTACAGCCCTCTGCTATTAATTCCACAAACCAAGCATTGTGCCTCACAGACTGGAACAAAAGAACTTGAACTTGCAGACTTTTTTTTTTGTCATCTATAATAATAACTTGGTGTGTTATACATTGTAATACATGAAAAATCTTTATGTATTACAATGCACGGAAATCACAATACATGCAGGTATGCATTTACACGTGTTTCATGCAGTGGTGTCATAGCTTTTGCACCATATTACCAGCTGAGTGAAAGAGTGCAAAATTATTTGGCTTTTTTCTGCCCCTATGAGTAGTACTTATTGAAGAGGTACCAGTGAGAACACAGTTTAGGTTTGTATTACTTTTTCTTGAAAAAATTGTATTGTTTTTGCCTTGAGTAATTGATTATTTGAAGACAAAATTAAGGTCAAAGTTTCTGTTTAATTCGTTTCCTGCCATAATCCAAAAACCAGTTTGCCAAGTTGTGGATTTTAATGTGTTTCTTCATATTTTGGCCATGTCTTCTCTGTAAGTGTTCCCCAAATTATACATTCAGGCTTTGGCTTTATTAGAACCTGTTCAGTCCTGCTTTGAATGTGGCCAATCAAAACTGATCAGAGGGTCCTGCAACACTTTTTTTAACCTTGTCATAAGATGCTGCCTATCAGTAATCAAAGATCTTGTAATAATTTGAACCAAATCTAGTTGCACTGCGTACATTAGAATTAGTTTTCTCTAAGAAACAGCCAGAAAAAAATGCTTGCTCTTTCCTTTAAAATATAGTCATCAGCTACGCAACAGGCAAATGCGATGGGTATTCACCGATTTCACAAACACATCAGTAGACAAACTCATTGGACATGTAGCTCTCAGTGCACTTGTAATAACAAAAGACAAGTGCATGGCTTATGTGAAAACTCCATTTATTGTTTACAATTTGAAACATTTTTGTGACATGGGAGTTAAAGTATACTTGTACAGCCACTTCTGTGATAACTTAAAAAGGTGTTGCTGAGCCCCTGTAAAGAAGGCTCTACTGTAGCCAGACCCACCTAAAGATTACAACTGTTTCGTAATCGACAAGCTTGCAGAATCCGTGCTGCACTTCCACCCCGCCGCGGTGGTCTAGTGGCTAAGGTATTCGGCTGGTGACCCGCAGGTCGCGAGATTGCATCCCGGCTGTGGCGGCTGAATTTTTGATGGAGGTGGAAAAATGCTGTAGGCCCGTGTGCTCAGATTTGGGTGCACATTAAAGAACCCCAGGAGGTCGATATTTTCAAAGCTCTTCACTACGGCGTCTCTCATAATCATATGGTGGTTTTGGGGCGTTAAACCCCACAAATCAATCGTGCTGCAGTTCCTTCACCAAGTTCAGTGGAAAGTCCTCACTTGACTTTTATTTATCATTTGAACCTGGTGACAAATTCTTCTGCATTGAAAAGGGTCTTTCTTCGATCAAAATTTTACTAAAGCTTTATAATCGGTGATGTTGGGGTAAACTATTGAGGCAGCGTCGCCAGGGGTTACCAAGCATCTTCTCATGTGAAGAATAGTGTCCTGGTACTGTGGAAGGTTGACTGCATCATTTTACTCCTTAGCAATCGTTTCACCTAAAAACTGGGTTCCACCTGTGTGCCACACTTCAGAACCAGGTGGTTTCTGTGTTACTTTTACAAAGATAACACGCACAGTCATATATATGTGATGGCTTCGTGGCACTTCATCTTTTGACACACCTTCTGATTTGATTGTTTCTCTGGCGGTGGATAAGTACATATAGTGACTTATTTGTAGACTATACTTTTGAGAACCCTTTTGTTTGTACTGGGGCTCTTGGGTGTTTTTTCTGTATAAATGAGTGCAGTGCGTTTTGGTATCTTGATGAGAAGACTAACGTTTGCAATAAGTCTTTGATGAAAATATCATTTGTGAGGCATAGTGCTAGCAAAGCTTTACTGGTTAATGTTCAGGTGCAATAAAAGAAATTCTCGCAGCTTGATGTCGTCATCAGTGAGTGCAATATCATGACTGGGCATGCAGCTGTAATTTTTCAGGCCACTTATATTCAAATATTGGTGGATTTTGTAAATTTACAGTTGGGCTTTCGGTAATTGATGACTGGTTCAGCCTTTTTTTAACAATCAAAAGTTAGTTTTGAGGATGTGAGCTAGAAAAATCTATTTGCCAGGTAGTGCTGAAGCTTTCGCAGTGGCTTAGCAGGATGCATCACCACCTGTTGCCAAGTTTTCAAGGCGCTCAAAAGCTAGAAAAGTAAGTCTTAGTTACGTGCAAACTTGTACTAAGTGCTTTATTTTGAACATTTGTAATAGAGTGTGCCAGACATTCTAGGCAAAAGTCATTGAAGCTTGTGAAAGCTAAATCCTAATTGTGCACAAGCTAGTGCATTGGTGATCTAGATGTTTCAGTCACATCAGTATATAGAGGTTCAGGCCGTTGCTGCACTGTGCTTGGCTGCGAGAAATTTTACCATGGTTTTGTTTAGTGTTTGCATTCCCACATTCCCAGTCAAGCTATGCTACTGCACGTTTCTCTGCTGTCAAAACAAAAGTCAATGAACAGCTCGGATATCAAGTGGCCGGCTTTACAACAGTGCACCTGAAATGCACTGTTGTAAAGCATATGCAAACGTAGATGTTGTAAAGCTAAGCATATTGTTGTGACTGGGGGAATTTGTCGGGCCTTGAGCCATCCAAGGGTCAGGGCGAAGACGGGCCGAGGAGCCGGAGCTGATAACTTGAACGATTTATTTACACTATTTTACATGATGTTGAAGGTAGCGTGTTACATGGAGTAAGCATCATACTAGATGATGGAAGGAAGCTCTCTCTCCGAGCGTCTTGCGCTCGCGTTTTTATGCCCCCGAAGAGAGAAAGTCACACCGCCTCCTTCCCAACCCAGGAAGGGAGGAGAGGCCCGCCCAGTTCGCTGCCCGGCGAGGGTGTAACACACACAATACACGACACCACTGGCACAGTGCGAGAACGGGGAGTCGGACGCGCCGAGATGACTCCTCGAGGAAACATCGCTCGGGAAAGGCGCCATGGAACGTGAGGAATGTCCCCGAAGATGAATACAAAGCGCTCGGCTCATTGTCCGCTGAATGTTGACGACCCAAGCAATGACCACTCCTTCTAGGCAGCCCAGACAGCGAACAGCCCCCCCCCCGGTAATCTGTCGGTCGTGCGTGCCCAAAGGGCTTTTTGGCAAGACGAGCCGACGACTCCAAGGAATTCGCAGTACTACTGCTGTGTTGTTGCCGATTCCGGACGTCTCAGGACGCGCTGCGAAGCCGGAACCATTCCACGCGTCCAAGCGGCGCCCAGACATGGGGGCCGATCACAACAGCTCGTCCGCCGCCGGGAAAAAGGACTCGTAGATGGGCAGCCCAACGCTGCACCTTGAAGAGGCCTGGCAGCGCAGCAGCTCTGGAACGGCTGCGGCTCAGGTTTTCTCTCTCGCTCAAGTGGGGTCAGCAGGTCCGTAAGTAGCACTCTCCGTCGAAGGGGCCCCCGCAGGTCGAAGGCTGGGACTGACATTAGTGATCAAATCCGCACA